GTGTAAAGATTGGGCGCCCCCCCCCCCCCGCCCCATCCTTCACATTTCCACTTGACATTTTCCAAGGAGAAATCTTGAATTCTTTTAAATAGCGGAGATAAATGATAGTCGCCTCAGTTCAACGGTGGTGGCATCGCTTTCTTCCCGACATCAAAGCGCAAAGAAGTGATAGAGCTCAACGTTTGTCTTAAGTTGACAGCTCACTTAAAAAATTTAAAAAAAAAAAAAAAAAGTGATGCGTCGCTGAGCTTTGGGGGCACCGGAGAAACATTTCACCTCCCAGTCTTCTATTTTAATGAACAAAAAAAATAATAGTCATGTCTGTTTGACCTTCCATGTTGAGTCTTACTCCAGCCGGCATTGCTCATCAGACACATCAGCACATTGTATGGAAATGTGAATACCATTCAGAATATCCGGTCGTGTGCTCAAAATGTTCTTCTCGGTGCCTCCTAATTGTCCGGAATCTCTGCCTGTAGTACACACAATGAGAGATTCGGCTTTGCTTCCCCGTTTATTTACTTTTTAAAAAAATTGATATCACAAAGACATTGAATGCACGTTCTATTGGTGTTGATCAGGTGTCTCTTGCAATGTCGATTGAAATGGAATCGTTGCGTCGCTTGAGCCTTAAAGAAAAACAATGCATGAAGACGAGCTCCGTCCACGTCGGCCTGGACGTATTCAACGCAGCATTGATCTACTCCATACGACGCCGCCATCAAAAGAGGAGTGCAGAACACTCAGAGAGATTCTCCGAACCCAGTGAAACCTTGTAAATACCAATTGACCAATCGCTTTGTGCAGATTTCCCAATGTACGCAGACTGACATGTCAATGCTTAAAGTCGAGCGTTTCAAGTTGTCGCCAAAGTTATCAAATCAGCGGCGTGACGTGACTCGCGTCCAAGGACTTTCTCGCCGCTCATCCAATGCGCTGCCGTCACAATTTCTCTTTGTCACCAGAATAACATCTGGAGTCCAAATGCAAAGCGGCGCATTTAAGCGGTGGCCCGTGTCCGCTGGGAGCTACGCAGACACTTAGCGCAGACACTCCAGCACAGCCTTGGCTCGGATATGCCGTTTTGTTGCCGCAGCCCTTTTGTATCGTTTGACAGCATTGTTTTCTTTCTTCTTTCTCTGCGAGATATCCACCCCCCCCAACCCCCGCGCAAGATTTGTCATGTAAGCAAATCATCTCTGGGGGGCTGAGCGGAGTGACGAGACGTAATCTTCTAGCCTCGGTGCCGTTCCCTGTGTCTTGTCAGATGAGCCAAGACGCCATCGGTCTCAAATGAGGGGGACACGGCGATTAATGGTTGTTTGTAGGCCTGGGGGGCTTGATTTATTTAATCTTCTTGTCGTCCCACATGCATTTCTTCTCATAAAGTCCCCCGACTGCACAGACATCAGCCTCAGATTTACAACCCTCATAAAGGCGTCACTGTGATTTAAGCCAAAGGGCAGGCGCTCCCTTTTACTCTCACCCACTCGCGAGCACGCAGTCAAAACAAAGCGGCGGCCTCGCGCGCTGACTCAGAAGCGCCCTCTTCAACAAATGACCGCTCAGATTATCAAAACCTTGTGAAACTTGCGCAAATATTTGAACGCAGCGGGCAGACTTGCTGAATCAGGTTCTCTCTCGCACCAAGCGTCAGACTGTAATTGAACTCGAATGCACGGACGCCGAACTTTCTCGCTCTCTTCCCATTTTCATTGAAAGACGTTTGGCAGATGGAGGCGTCTTTGTCTTTGCAAAAGTTTTCCACCCTGGAAAGTGCCAGCCCTTCTCAGTTTAATGAAGGCGAGCCACAACAGCAGCGTAGTCATGACCGGTTTGTGTACGAGGTTCCCCCCCCCCCCCCCCCCCCCCCCCCCCCCTCCTGGCCGGAGCCTTTGTATTCACCACAGGCCAAGCTTCTCCCACCACAGAGCGAGGGAGGGGAGGGAAAACAAGCTTGCCTCTCCAATGCTAACTCAATAATGACTTCCCACGGGGGGAAGAGAATACAGGGCGGTCTTTGAAGTGGCTGGTCGGCGGGAGGCTCTCCTGCCTCAGTCGCGCTGTCGGACACCCCAGACGAGCCCCATTCAAAGTTCCAACACAAATCATCAGCGGCGGACGGACGTCCTCATCGCGTGTGCTTATTCTTCAGCCTGTTGTCCGGACACGTAATTAAGTTAATTTTTTGTAACGATGGCATATCATGTCCCGGCTGTACTGTCAAGACCAAGGTCTGAAAATCTCTCCTGACGCTCACGTTTTAGCGGGATTCTTTCAAAGGCTGATGGTGAAAGTGAGACTTTTTTATTTTTTTTTTAAATGTCCCAATTCTGAACTCCGGTGCAAACTTAAGACACGAATGGACAATTAGTCATGCCGAGGTGGAGTGATGCCTAATCTAATTGTCGTTGAGGGGCAGAGTCAGTCTTGGCCGTGCCAAACAGTTTGAATACTTGGTTGTCTGTCCTACAGGACACTTTGGGCACGTGCACGTGCGAATTGTTTCTGGTGCTCAAAGCACAGTGATACCAGATACGGGTCTCTTGAAAGGGGATGGAAATGAATTGGATGAAGCCACTAAATGGACCTGCGGTGCAAATCCGGGCCAAGGGACAGGTGTCTTCTTCCGCAGCTCCGGGAGTCAACCACAAAGAGGTTTGGAGGCCTCTCTCCCCATGACCCCGACGAGTGTCAATCATGGGCAGAGGAACTGTGGAAACAGAATGCGGATTTTCCAATTTGCTGGCTGCACGCTCCACTAAATCAATCTTAAATTGATTGCTCAACAATAACAAATTCAATTTGAGGTCAGGCGTCTGTGAACGCTCTTCCGCACAAGATCCATCCCAGTATGCCTTGATGCGCCTTGCTGGAAAAGAAAAGGGTCTTCCCCAAACAGTTAGCACAAAGCGGATGATGCCAGGGCGCGAGTTCCCCGCACCTTTGTCGTCCGAGTTGGTGTCACGTTGGATCAACTGAGTGCAACCCGCCAGTCAGTTGAACGAATCAAAAGACGACGCAGTAAACACGGGGCAGCAATCAAAGACATCCGGTGTGTGTTTGTCTTCTTGGCCTGGAGCTGGTTGTTGCAAGACAACCTTTGTTCTCGAAAAGGCCCGATTTTATTCCCATTCATTACGAAAATGATTCACGTCAACCCCTCAGCAGACTGCGATGTCTCGCTTTAGCCTTGACGTGCCTTCCCGCTGAGGTTGGCACCATAGCGGCGGGGTGTCAAAACGTGACGGCGCAGATCAGAAACACAAACATGACAGAGGATCAAAAGTGAGCCAAACATTGCTGTTTGGTGCAAAGAAAACCTTTTGGAAAGAGAACCAAGACAACAGTGTCATAGCATCAATATTTCACTGCAAAGTGCTAAAAGCGAGGAACGAGTTTGTATTCAGGGTTGGGGATTTTTTTTTTCCTTGTCTGCCTGTACTGAATATGAATCAGCTCACCTATGAGCTCGCTTTACAGCGAGGTATTAATGAATATGCAGCCTAAATTTCCTTAAAAAAAAAAAAAAATCACTCCTCAGAGGGGGGAAAAAAAAAGGAGCCTATTCGGACTGGATAGGAAGGAGTAACAGTTGTGGGACGCAGCAGTTGGTCAATTGGACGAGAGTGGGGAACGGGAGCTTAGAGGGGAAATGTGAATGACAGCAAAGGAGTTCCTCCCAACCCGCACGCACACACGCACACACACACACACACACACACACACACACACACACACACACACACACACACACACACTGAGCACAAATCCGCTTCCCCAACCTGAACGGACGCAGTCTGAATCTCGGTGACCCACAGAGGGCAGCTCGTAATCACCATGGCGAAGGGGGCGGCACGTATCGCACAGAATGCAGTGCTCAAAGGGTTTTTTTTTGGGGGGGGGGGGGTTAACTGAGACGGCACGGCAGGCATTCCGGGCATGAAGAGTGTGCCGGCAGAAGCATCGATATGCACAATAGGAGCCTGCTTGGACTTGGACCCAGCAATAAAACACTTTGGCTCACGCTCGACTGGAGTCTGTGTGTTAAAACTATAAAACTGCAGCTGCAGGATGAGGGCAATGCTATTGTTGATCCACTATTATGTTAAAAAAAAAAAAAAACGCTCTAGTTGAGACCACAAATGTCTGTTTCTGGCATTTCATTTGCCACCGTAGCTGCAGTCAAGATCAGGCGCAGCCAGGCCTGCCCCTGCGTCAATGCAGAACAGCCAAATCATGCAAAAATTGTGAATGACTGAATGAAAGGTCATCAACTGCAGCGGGTGCATTGAACAATGAAAAGGTCGCTGTTGCACCGGAGGACCCGTCTCAGGAATCGGGCGCCCTGAACTGAGTCGTTCTGTCTCTCTTTATCCAATCTCGTAGGTCAAAGAAGTTGTCAGCCTTGGCCGCTGCACTCCAAAAAGTCTCCCTCCAAAAAAGGGACTTGGATTTGGATATTGAGGAACTAGAAGAGGCGGCCACAATGGTTCTTGAGGAGGAAGACGATGCTTCCGAGAGCGCTTCGGTGCATCATAGCAGCAACCGTTCCAGTGACAGCAGCGCTTCGGGAGAAGACGACGAGTCTGAAGCCGAAGGGCAAGCCGGCGCTGAATCCCGTCGCGGAGAGGGAGGGGAGTCATCTAAGGACAGCCCTCTCAAGCCGCCACACACCTCCGCCGTCTGTGCCGCCATTCCACTGGAGCGAGCAGCTACGCGGCTGTCGGCGGAGAACAAGGTCCGCATCCTCCCCCAAGCCCCGCAAGGCGCCGCGCCGCTCATCCAGGAGCTCGGGGAGCTCAAAATCTCGGAAGAATTCCGCGGCGGTCCCGAAGCGGAAAGAGAGCCTTCGCAGAGGAGCGGAGCGCCATCCGGAGGGAACGGCGGTCAGACTTTGTTTGAGTCGAGCCCTCGCACAAACCCCCTGCTCATCATTCCTAAAGGGGAAGATCCTCACACGCCGGACTTGATCTCGTGAAGCGCTCAGTGGAGACTCTTTTGAAATGTAACTTCCCCATGTAAGTCATTTCATGAATTGGGATCTCCTTTCATTTGTGTTCATTACGGTACTGATTTAATGTGTGCTTTCACACTCATTACCATTTCTTAATTTGTGAGACTTTTCTTTGTTTCATTGAATTAATGTTGATAGCTTTTTTTTTTTTTTTTCCTTTCATCAGACAGCAGACGCCATGTCTTATTTTCTTATTGCTGCCCGTCCCTGACTTTCAATAAATGTTGATTGAAATAACTGAAATGTTTTTGCGCATTTTGTTTTTTGGTGAGAGTAGCCAGTCGGAATTTGTCGTGACTATTTCGACAATATTTCAATTTTGTCAAGTGACTGCAGGTTGCCGAAGGAAACTCCACAACAACCGATGAAGGGCACGTTGTCAAGAAGGTATTTCGTGTTACACAACATTTGGTTGATGAAAAGCCACTCTCCGTTTGCACTCCCTTCCGTTTCGGTTGCTGAGCCCCAAATTCTTTACACGCCGGCGTAAGCTTGTTTGAATTTTAATTTGTCTCTGACAACCTCGAAGTAGCTGAAGAATTCTCGTGCGAGCAAAGCTCGCTCCACTTCCTAAAGAGAGACCGAAGCGGAGAAGGGGGCGTCGGCAACCGAGCGTGCGCGAGTGATTGATTCATCCGGCGTGAACGGCGGAGCTCTGTCGACACGGCTCAATATCATCGGCCTCGTACCGGGCGAGAGAAAACAAACATGGAAGCGCATGTCAGCGAGATAGATGGCGTCCGCTGAATGGGAGCTGTTTGTTTGAGAGATAAGAGCACCCCAAGGCCCGAGGTAGCCGCGAGATAGAGCTGCGAAGACAAACTGACACGAGCGCTTGTGCAGCGACCGCGGGCGTTATACATTTCATTCGTTCGACTGGACTGCCTGAAAATACAAGAAACGCGGCCAGAGTGCCACGCAAATATGAGCTGCTTTGGATGGGGGGGGGGGGGGAATGGAGACTTTGATCCCTTGTGAAGGAGGGCAAACCACCAGTGACAATTTGTTCCGCCGAATGATTTTACGTGAAGCGCCGCGTTACTCAGACGGATGTTGTTTGTGTCCGGATGCTCCCAAGTCGGAGCATCCGCCAAGCGGCATCTCCTGCGACTCCGATCATTTCGGGTGTCAGGTGCGTGTGTCAAATTCATTGTCCTCTGGGATGATGTCACAGCATCCACGTAGCTGCCAGCCACCGCCCTGCTCGCACGCCCTGTCAGGAGTTACTGATCCCAACCCCGCAAGGACCAGCGAATCGTCAGGTCAGAATAAACGAACCATCCGACTGAAGTACCTTTCAAATTTGCATCTCGCGACCTCGACCTGTTGTGTCAATAGAGGGCTCCGTCCTTTTAGCAATTACCCACAATGCACCTAAACAAGCCATACATGAATGTGTATGGCTTGTTTATAACAGCCCTCCAATATGGCCGCCAGTAGTGCATTGTGGGTAATTGCTAAAAGGACGGAGACCTCCATAGACCCCTTCTGTTTGGTTGGTGCTTTCCACAAATATTCCCTTTTGTGTTTTGTGAGAAAGGCAGCAAGCAAGGACCGCGGTTGGTCACGCTTGCGACCTAAGTTGACGGTCATCGAAAACTCAATCTGCTCTCGTGGTTCCTGAGAGGCAAATTGAACGTGGGACTTGAAAAGATGAATAACCCTCGAGAAGAAATGAATCGGGTGCTCTTCAGGGCCTGACTCGTTGGATGGGCGTGCGTGGAGAAGTGCTTTTTGCGCTCGCTTCTTCTCACACAAGTTGAAAAGGGAAGCGGTCTCCTTTCCTTTTGCCTTTTGCCCGACTTTAAAGTTGAAAGGACTGCCGTTTGGCGCATATGACTGTCAGACGCGCGAATCTAGCGCTCCATTTTCAGAAGCGTTACCTCTGAAGGAAGCGTGTAACAAATCCTTGTCATCACCATGCGGCAAGATGACGCTGCGGCTGCCCGTCGCCGCGTCAGTGGCTCTGCCTCGCTGATTCCCGGGAATCGGTGCGAGCAACGTCTGTGAAATCTCCGCACGACCCTGGGCGGACACGTGTTATCAGAGGAGCTTGACGCTGCAAATCGCCTCTGCCCGCACGTTTCGTTCACCTTGCAAAGTGTGCTGGGCTCGCAAAGATGCCGTTAAATTGGAAGAGAATTATCTTGCGGGAGGCCGGAAAGCCTTGACCTGCTGACATCACGGCCCGTGTATTGCATTTAAAATTCTATTAGCATAATATGAGCAGGTGCGTGGGAGGGAGGGGGGGGGGGGTATGATGCTGAGACAGCGTAGCATCGGGTGGGAAAAACAAGGGCGAATTTGGAATTAGGCTGACTTCTCTTGTCTCGCCACGGTTTCATGGAAATGTGACTTTTGATATTGCTTCGGTGTGTCGTTTTGTTGCCTCGGACTTTTCTCGGACGTGGCCGTTCGACTTGCAAGATATTTGTAGTCACTGGACCGATGTTTTATTTTCCTGAAAATGAACGTTCTCCTTCGAAAGAAACTTGAAATTAAGGTTTTTCCGGTGGCCGAAAAAACCACCTGGTTGGTTGGCCTGACCGCCAGTGGCAAAAGAGCAACACAGCCTTTTTTTTTTCCAGTCATGTCAGCCAACAGCAGGGTTTTAGAATTTGGTTTTACCAACCATGGAGGACTGGCATTAGCCACAACGTCTTAAGGAAAAAAACAAAAAACAAAAACACGAAGCAACCTGGAGATCCTGTAGGACAATTTTGGACACCTACGACACCACGTCAAACTTTCTTACGACGCTTGCGGAGGTGCAACAAAAAGTGGTCATTGTTTTCCTTGTTTATCTGCTCACATGGTTCAGAAAGGAAAAAAAAGTTCCATACCATCAAAGAAAAGTTTTGAACAGAATTACATTTCTCTGATCGTATTTTTCTGTTTCAAGGTTCACTCTTGATTTCGTCCGGACTTGATCTTGGACCGGATCAAGGTGGACTTGACGCCAACCCCGCAGGCCGCCGCAGCGATGCTCAATTGGTGTGAAGCGTGTCAAACATTTTTGTATGTTTTCGTAAATTCTCATGAGAATCTCGTGCACAAATATTTTTGTTCACGCTCAGTCAGTGCGCAATTCTCTTTCAGTCAGGTGAGGTGAGCAGATCTGTGGAAGTCACGAGAGGAAAGAAGGTGCATCTTGTCCACCAGGCCTCCAAGGCTCTGACTTTGTTTGCTCAGGTCCTTAGCACGGCGCCTTTTGTGTGCGTGTGTGTGTGTGTGTGTGTGTGTGTGTGTGTGTGTGTGTGTGTGTGTGCGTGCGTGCGCACGCGCCCCAGTGGCTCAGCGCAGGCTCATTCTCCGACTAATGATGCCTCACGGATGTCGGCGTGTTGCTAGCAGACGTGGAACAAAAGGTTTCTCGTTCTTGTACTCCCCCAGCCCTCGCTAGACAAGCTCCCCCGACACGTTCAACGCAGGAGCTTGACGCGGATAAAAGCCTCGATGTTCAAGCAGACACAAGAAACGCCCTCCACACTGTCAGTCCCGATGCATCTGTTGACACGTTCTAAGCAAACAAACAGATTTTCCACTGCGCTAGCAGCTTTCGGAGCGAAGCACACCTTCATCCTGCCGTGTTTCTTCCACGCTTCTGTCACTGTTGAGCCGCAAACGTCAAAGACACTCCCCCCCCCCCCCAAAAAAATTATTGAAAGCATTTGGCTTTCGGGTGACGTTTCAGGACGAGCCAAAAATGCCTTCCGACCTTTTACGGGTGAACTTGATGTGACCATCTCGACTCTTTTGAATGCGCGTGTCCAAAGCTTTCAGTCCAGGGAGCTTAACGGCAAAACTCGTTTGATCCTTGAATCGGCCAATAAATGTGCTGGTTCAATTCGAGCTGCTGCTTCAACGGTTGTCCTCGTCGTGCTGTTCACATTTTGACATCGCGAGACCAACATGACACCTTACAATGGTAGCTCGCCATTGTGATGCTTCAAACAAGGACCTTCTTCGACGGAAGTTTGGAGTATCACAGAATGTCATCAGCAGGTTGCAACAGCGATGCCAAGACACTGGAAGAGTCACAGAAAGAAGTGGATGTCCGGATGATGAATGCCACTCAACTCCAGGCACGTGCAAGGGGGGTGAGAGGCGCCCACGTGTCACGTCAGACCATCCGAAACCGTTGACATCAACGTCTGCGTGTTAGACGAGCTGCAAGGGAACCAGCGCCGGGCACAGGCGTCATCGTCTTGCATCGGCCAGGGAGCGTTTAACGCTAGACGAGGGACCGGTGGGCCTCGGTGCTGTTCTCCGATGAAAGTCGATTCACCTTGAGCGGAAATGACGTTGGAGACGTCGAGGAGAGCGCTCTGCGTCAGCCACTCTTGTCACCGGACGAGCTTTTGGTGGTGGCGGTGTTCCAGTGTGGGCAGTTGTGACCGGTTGGCACAGAACTAACGCTCCAGTTCAGCGAGGTCGCCGGGAGCGCACTTTCTCCCGACCAGAATCCGATTGACAAGCTGTGGGATCCGCTGAGTCGCCGTGTAGGGGCTCGAAACTGCATCCCCAGAACCTCAGTGACCCCGGGGGCTGCCTCAGCAGACAAAAAAGTCGACTTGTGAACAGCATGAGACGTCGTCGTTAAGCTGTCATTGTTGCTCAAGGGCACGTGGCCAGTTATTGACATTTTTGGTTGCGTTGTTGTTCACTTTTGTCTCAATCATTCGTTTGAGATGAGGAAATCACCTTCTAATCCTTCTCGTCACATGTCCTACTTTCATATCAGCATAGTGTGAACTTTGGACATTTTCCATACGTTTCACCCCAAAGTCAAATATCTTTCACTTTTTGTGAGCGGCGTAGTTCAGAACGAGGCGGCCAAATTGGTGTTAAAATGTCCCCATCGTCCCGGTGTTGCTCTGTTGAGTTGAAGCGCCCCCTGGCCAATCTTTTTCGATTCCGCTTGTCCTCGGCGTGAGGCAAGATGCAGATGAAACTCTGGACTGCTCGCCCGTTGTGACACGAGCTGACCCGAACTGTCCAACGTTCCTTATTTCATGCTCTGGCCTCTTTTCTTATCTCCAGTCGGCTCTCATCCTTTCCGGATCTCTCAGTTGAGCAGCCTAACACAAGCGCCTCTACTTTTCTCTCCTTCTCAGATCACAAAAATGGACCCTCCCCCCCCCACACCCCACCCCACCCCA